GAAGGGACACGCGCCCATTGTCAATTTGAGCTTTTAAATGTTGGGCCAGAGATTGCAATAAAGTACGAGACGAGTTCCGCTCTTTCGATTTTGAGGCACCAGATTTGATAGCCAGGCTCTTTAGATGATTCTTACCCGTGTCCCACCAAGATTGTAAAGAATCAAAGGAGTGTTTCATAGTTTTCCACCCAGCCCAGAAATCCGAGACTGATGATCTGAAACCAACATCCTTAAGGATCGGGATGTTGAGCTTCCAGTAGCCAGGGCTGCGAGGAGTCGGTTCCGGAATGGGAACAGTGAGAAGAACAGCACAATGGTCGGAATAAGGGCAAGCCAGCATGTCACAAGATCGCACAAGATGTATCCATGAGTAGGGACACCCGACAAGGTCAATCCTGGATGACAGTGTGCCATCTGGCCTAAGCCAAGAGAAGGCAAAGGTAGCAGGATTGCGAGATCTCCAAATGTCTACCACACCACAATCACGAAAGAGGGAAAGAAGGGAAGGACTGCTTTCCCTGGAGTAATCCAAAACATTGGAACCCCTCCTATCCATGGACCGGTCAAAAACGGCATTGAAATCCCTGCAAACAAGGGTGGCAACCGACGGATCAACTTTGGAGGAGACAAAACTGAAAAAGGCGTCCCTATCCGGATTCCGGTTAGGGGCATAAACACAAACAACACGGAACATCACATCACGATCTTGAAATTCAGCCAAAACAAAACGACCATCCGAGTCAGTACACAGAATTAAGCAACGAATATCTAGGCCGTAAGAGAATAGCAGAACCACAGGAGTGTGCGGAGCCGGGGGAAACAACAGATAGGAAACAGTAAGAAGAAAACCAGGAATTGCTTTCGGCAATTGAAGTGACGTGCGTTTCCTGCAGGTAAGCGAAGTCTAAAGACAAATGACTGAGCCAATGTAGCAGAGCCATCCTCTTATTCGCGTCCCGCAACCCATTGGTATTAAGAGTTAAGAAAGACGCCATGACAAGTCAGTAAATGAAGAAAAACAACAACTACGAAAAATAAACAAAGTGTCAAGAAGGGAGATCAGCTCTAAGTGGGACGATCTCTCAACACCATCGGTAGACCACGATGCCGCCCACCACCTTGGGGGGAGGCAGAAACAGTCCTGTGTTTCTTTTTGGACGAGGGATCCCTGGACCTACTGCGTTTAAGCGATGCCAAAGATGGATCCATTGAGTCGACATCAGCCTTAGAGCGCAAATCCGAAGATTCTAGGACTTCACACTACCACTTTGAACATTTTGTTCAACATTTTGAGCACCACCAAGAATGCTTTGGCTCTGAGAGAACTCAGATAGCTTGAGAGGAAGAGAGGGAGGGCTCATCCTCAGTAAATTCTTCAATGTCAGAGCCGTCTGACGCATCCACAAAAACTTTCTCCAGTTCAGTTTGTTGCGAGGAAGGAGCAGCCTCTTCCTGAGGAGCCAACAAATGGCTA